TCAAAGGAGGACTGGATATGGATAGTGAAAATAGCAAGTTGCATTAAACACGATATTAAACAAATACTGTAAGGGATAAAAAGCTGACTCAGGGCATATGACAATGGCTAACTGACAGTGGTTTGGATGAAACATCCCTTTTGAGCACCTTATTCCATAATTAAGGGACTTCTTGCAACTTTCCCTGAAGCATCCGGAGATGGTCAGACAGAGGACGATGAACTATAGAATGTAGCCCACGGGCCCCTCCTGCTCTTCAGCCTTATGGCAAACAAACCACATCCCAGGAAGTTTACTGTATTTGTGTTTTTCCGAGGAGCTCTTAAAAGCAAAGGCCCTGTTCTGTAAGGATATAAAAGATCCCGTCATGCTTTTCAGAAGAGCAGGTGTTTGCTCCCATTTCCAGGCCCAGAATTCCTCTCCCCATATCGCCAGCTGCCGCCCTCCAGTCCAGAGGTGGCTGCTGGCTGCCTTTTGTAAGTGCTGCATGCAGGTAGTTTGTGAGTAACAATAAATAACAATAATTCCTATCTCTTACAGAGCGCTTTTCATCAGTAGATCTCATCACACTTCACAATCTTTCATCTCTCTCTTTGAGATGAAAGAGGCCACACACACACACCCCCACACACGCACGCGTTATTACAAACTTTGGGCCTTGCAGAAGCTCTCAGATCTCACCTGGACACGTCCCTTTACCTCGGACTCCCAGGGATGCTGGTCACACAATACCGCTGGCAGACTGGCATATGCAGGTGGCCAGTGACAAGCTCCCCAACGCGCTGACACCACATGAGGCCTTTCAAGCCTCCTGCTGGCTCCTGGCTCCTGCAGAAGTTGCCGGTGGCCAGCGAAAGCCGGAGACCCACCCGCCGGGCCCGCGCCTGGGACGTTCAGAACAACGGGGGACCCTCAGGAAGCTGGCAGACGAGAGACACCCCCCCCCGCCCCCAATTCGCCCCCCACAAGAACCTCAGCCAAGAAACAGCAGAGCCCCCGGGGGCCCCTCCGGGCTCCCCGCAACCCGAGGGACAGAAAGGCGAAGCAGCCGGACCGAAGGGAGGGCCAAGGGCCTGGAAGGAAGCAGAACGACTCCGGCTCTGACCCCGCACCTGTGGTCTCACCTGCCCCTTGTCCCAGGCTGGGCCCTCCCCGTGAGCGGGGGAAGTGGGGGGCCTTTGCCCTCCATCCCCAGCCAGGGAAGGGGGCTGGGGCAATTCCTGGCCACCTCCCCCCCCCCATCTGGGTCCAAACTTCTCAACTCCAAAGGGGGGGGGATAAAGCCCCTCACCTCCCTCCCAAGCGCCAAACTTAGGGGGCTGCTAAGCCCCGCCCCCGCCCCGCCCCCCACCTGGGGGAGGGGGGGTCTAGCCCCTTCCCAACCCCTGAGGGGGCGGGTAATAAACCCCCTCCCAAGAGACCCCCCCGCGGGGCAGAAGATGGGGGAGGGGAAGAGCCTTACTTACCCTGGGGGCCTGTCCCCCCCCCTCCGTCTCGGGTCTCCGCTGCCGCCGGGGGGGGGTTCTGCCGAGCGGGGCCGGGCCCCTCCTCGAGGCGGGGGGGTCGGAGCGGGGGGGGGGTCCAGGGGCCGGGGGGGGCCGGGCCGGGGGGGCCGGGGGCGGGCGGAGAAAAGAAAAGAAGGAAAAAAACCGAAAAGGAGGAAAAGAAAAAAAAAGAAAGAAAAAAAAAAGGAAAGAAGCTGCTGGCCCCTCCCCCAGCCGGCGTGCGCGCTGCGTCACCGCTACGTGCGGCCCCGCGTCAACGCGCCGCGCCCCGGGGGCCCCGCCCGCCTACCCCGGGCCGCGTTGCCAGGGGCAACCGCGAGACGCGCCCCACAGCGGCCCCTGCCGGCCCGGAGGGGCGGAGCCTGCCGGCCCCGCACCACCTTAAAGGGAGGGGGCGGGGGAGCGGCCCAGTCCCGCTGAGCGCCCGCAGTGCCCATGCGCGGGGGTGGCTCCGCCCCAGAGCCGGGCCCCGCCCCCAAGGCCAGACCCGACACGTGTTCCGGTCCCGCCCACTGTCCCCCGCCCCAGGTCCCCCCGCCCCACCTCTCTTCTCCAGCCCCCCACTGCCCCCCCTCCAGCCCCCCACTGTTCCACCCCTGCTCTCTTAGCCCCCCACCGCAGCCCCCCAACCCACTACCCCCTGCCCCACCTCTCTTCTCCAGCCCCCCACTGCCCCCTCCAGCCCCCCACTGTTCCACCCCTGCTCTCTTAGCCCCCCACTGCAGCCCCCCAACCCACTACCCCCTGCCCCACCTCTCTTCTCCAGCCCCCCACTGCCCCCTCCAGCCCCCCCACTGTTCCACCCCTGCTCTCTTAGCCCCCCACTGCAGCCCCCCAACCCACTACCCCACCTCTCTTCTCCAGCCCCCCACTGCCCCCCTCCAGCCCCCCACTGTTCCACCCCCTGCTCTCTTAGCCCCCCACTGCAGCCCCCCAACCCACTACCCCACCTCTCTTCTCCACCCCCCACTCCCCCCTCCAGCCCCCCACTGTTCCACCCCTGCTCTCTTAGCCCCCCACTGCAGCCCCTCCACCCCAGTCCCCCCTGCCCCACCTCTCTTCTCCAGCCCCCCACTGTCCCCCCCCTCCCCCCCCCTCCACCCCTGCTCTCTTAGCCCCCCACCCCCCCCCCCCACTCCCCCTGCCCCACCTCTCTTCTCCCCCCCCCTGCCCCCTCCCCCCCCCTTTCCACCCCTCTCTCTTAGCCCCCCCTGCCCCCCCACCCCTCCCCCTGCCCCCCTCTCTTCTCCACCCCCCCTCCCCCCTCCCCCCCCCTTTCCACCCCTCTCTCTTAGCCCCCCACTCACCCCCAACCCCTACCCCCCTCTCTTCTCCCCCCCACTCCCCCTCCGCCCCCCACTGTTCCACCCCTGCTCTCTTGCCCCCCACTCCCCCCCAACCCCTCCCCCCCCCACCTCTCTTCTCCCCCCCCCTCCCCCTCCCCCCCCCTGTTCCCCCCTCTCTCTTAGCCCCCCACTGCCCCCCCAACCCCTCCCCACCTCTCTTCTCCCCCCCCCTCCCCCCCTCCAGCCCCCCACTGTTCCACCCCTGCTCTCTTAGCCCCCCACTGCAGCCCCCCACCCCTACCCCACCTCTCTTCTCCAGCCCCCCCACTCCCCCTCCAGCCCCCCACTGTTCCACCCCTGCTCTCTTAGCCCCCCACTGCAGCCCCCCACCCCTACCCCACCTCTCTCTCCAGCCCCCCTGCCCCCCTCCAGCCCCCCACTGTTCCACCCCTGCTCTCTTAGCCCCCCACTGCAGCCCCCTGCCCCCAGTCCCCCCTGCCCCACCTCTCTTCTCCAGCCCCCCCTGTCTGCCCCCCTCTCTTAGCCCCCCACTGTTCCACCCCCTGCTCTTAGCCCCCCACTGCAGCCCTCCACCCCACTACCCCCTGCCCCACCTCTCTTCTCCAGCCCCCCACTGTCCCCCCGCTCCAGCCCCCCACTGTTCCACCCCCCACTCTCTTAGCCCCCAGCCCGCGCTCCAGCCCCCACTGTTCCACCATCCACTGCTCTCTTAGTTCCCCGCTCCAGCCACCCCACCCTACTACCCCCCGCTCCAGCCCCCTGCTCTCTCAGCCCCCGCTGTTCCACCCCCCTGCTCTTAGCCCCCACTGCAGCCCCCCCACTGTTCCACCTCCAGTGCCCCCCATGCCCACTGATCCAGCCCCTCACTGTTCAATCCATCCAGCTCTCCCCACCACTACTCTTGCCCCCACTTCCTGACCCCCACTACTCCAGTCCCCCCTGCTCCACACCACCTGCTGCCCCAGCCCCCGTTTCCATTTTTATTTTTTCAACAAAAAAACCCAAGAGCATTTTTGACCAAAACGAAAAATGTGTTTTATCAGAAGTGTGTTTCAATGGAAAAAACTACGCCAGCTCTGAGGAGGCCCTGCCCTGCCCCCAGGCCAGCTGGGTAAAACTGGTTGATCCCCACCCACACACACACACACACCCCAATCGAAAGGTAGTTGTTGGCATCCGCCTGAAATCCTCTGCCCTGCCGGTCCCGGCGGCCGCAGCCCGAGGCCTCGGCCTGGTTTACCACACAGCTCCAGCGCTCCGGGGGTGAAAGCGTTACAGCCCTGAGTGCCGGAGCCAGGCGACTCTAAGCCCCAGCGTAGACGTAGCCAGGTCGGTGGTGCCTGCGACAGAAAGACCTGCTGCATCGTTGCAGGAAGCGTCTACCCGCGCCAGAGATGCGTAGATACGGCCCCGCGCTCGGCGTGCTCTACTAGTGTATCTACACCAGCACGCTGCCCTGGCAGAGCGCTCCTAGTGTGGATGCGGCTTGTACCCTTGTCAGTCTAGCCACCTGCGTCTGCACTAGGGGCTTTTGGCAACACAGCTCTGTCGGCCGCAGATCACAACCCCGACCGCGGTAGTCGTGCCAGCAACAGACTGCAAAGCAGACCCGGCCTGAGATGTGGGAAACCTCTCCTCGAGCTACAGCCCCTCGCTCTCCTATGCTGGGAGCTGCTGCCTGCCAATTACTCTTTGCCATACCCAGACTGCAAGCTCTTGGGGCAGACACTGGCTATGTGCATTTGTGCAGTGCCCGGCACAATGGGGCCCTGACCTGACTGGCACCTGCAGTCGCTATCCCGATACAAATGTAATAGTTACGCACCGACTCCTGTGTTCGGTCCCAAATCAGCCACGCTTTCAGCCTTTTTTTTTTTTTTTAAATTGATCTTGGCTACTAAGTCACAAAACCCAGCCAGATCCAGCAGGACCCCAAACGCACCTCTCCCCCAGGTCTACCTTAACACCTCCAAAATCTGTGTCCTGTGGGAACGTTCTTGTGGGATCAGAGGGACAGTTTATCTGCACTGGGATCAGCCAATATTTGCGTCAGAGGCAGTGAACCGGCTTCCCAGTAATCCAGGAGTGGGGCTGTGAAATCAGCTCACAGAAGTGCAGCCTCCCGGCACTGACTTTGTGGGGCTCCTTTTCCGGACGGGAACCCAGCTCCGTTGCCGTGGTGGTACCAGGCCTTGCCCTGTTCGAGGAAATCAGCTTGCTGGCTCCCGATGCTCTTTGCCTGTGGGGATCAGAAGGAGATGGCCACCGTGCAAGCCCTCCTGCTTTTAATGCTCATCGGAATAGCCGAGCCCGGGGCAGGTCGATGCCCTGCCTGCGAGATGGCAGCCCTGGACCCAGAGGTGCAGAAGTCGTTCCTCATTGAGCTAGCAAAGCAGAGGATTCTTTCCAAGCTGCATTTGAAGGAGCAACCCAATGTGACCCAGCCGGTCTCCAGCGCTGGCCTCCTGACAGCTCTGGCGAGGCTACGTGTCAGGAGCACGAACCCGAGCATCACGTTGGAGATGCCAAGCCGGAGCCCCAAGACTGATGTGCAAGAGTATGAGATTCTCAGCTTTGCTGAGCCAGGTCTGTAAGGTCTCCCGGGGTGTCTCAAGGGGTGCGGCAGGGGCATAGCGAGGGACAGAGACATCCGCCAAGAAGGGCCTCTGCATGAGGGCATTTTACCCCATTGCAACCCCATAAGGGTGCAGGAACAAAAATCAGTCCCCCGAGCACTTACATCCACAAACACATAATAGTAGTTCACTGTCAAACTGGGGGAGAGTATCTAGCAGGGTCCTGCAGGGCTCAGCCCTTGGTCTGGCGCTAGTCAATATTTTCATCAGTGACTTGGGTAACGGAGCGGAGGGAATGCTCCTACAACTTGCGGATGACATCACTGTGGGAGGGGTTGCAAGCTTTGGCGTTCGGGTTTTGAATTCAAAATGACCTTGACAAATCAGAGGATTGATCTGAAATCAACAAGATGCAATTTGAGGGGGGAGGGATAGCTCAGTGGTTTGAGCATTGGCCTGCTAAACCCAGGGTTGTGAGTTCAATCCTTGAGGGGGCCATTTAAGGATCTGGGGCAAAAATTGGGGATTGGTCCTGCTTTGAGCAGGGGGTTGGACTAGATGACCTCCTGAGGTCCCTTCCAACCCTCATATTCTATGATTCTATGATAAGGCCAGAGGGCAAAGTACTTCACTAAGGAAGGAAAAATCAAACGCACAACTACACGGGGAACTGGCGAGGCAATTGTACTGCTCAAAAGGATCGAGGGGTGGAATGGGTCACAAATTAACTACTTGAAAATCCTTCTGACCCGGTAGCTCAAAGCTAGACGGGAGAGGATCTAATGTAACTCTGTGGAGAGAGCACAGGGGGCGCTAGATGGCTGGGGAGTGCTGCTGTCCAACAGCTGCCGTGTTCCACCCCAGATGCAGCTCCATTTTCAGAGGGCATTGCTGAGTAGATTGTAAAGTGCTATGGGATCCTATCCTTCAATATCCCAGTATAAAACAGGATTAATTTCTCCTTCCATGGAAATTCAGCCGCTTTTGGGGTGGAACACAGCCCAGACTCTCCCTCAGCAGCACTAACCCACAGGGTTCTTAGGTGGAGGAGGTGAAGATCAATGTATCCAGCTGAAATACCAGGCGCTTGGAATAACAAGCGACTTTCCAATGGAGAATTTAGCCAGCGCCCCGGGGCTGACACCCCCGGCCTCCTTCCATTATATACTCAAAGCACCATCAGCTCTTTAGCACCTATAGATGAAGACTGTGTGTCCGGTGAAAGCCAGCACCGCGCCCCCTAGCCCTCTGCCAAGTGCTCGCTTGGGCCAGACTGAGAAGACCACCAAAGCCCTGGGCTTTCCTTGGCAGGCTCCAACCCACAGACTCACTCGCACCTGCCGGCTTAGCTCACCAGCGGGCCGCCCAGGGCGGCCCGGGCTGGCAGGCGCAGAAGTCTCTTGGTAATGGTTTTGGCTGGGCACAGAGGTGTCTGAAGTGCAGCCAGCAAGACGGCTGCCGGGCCCGGCCCTTGTGTCTATTTTTCCATGGATGTCACTTTGCCTGTGGAAGGAGCTGTTGGCCAGGGAGCCTCGGCGGTATTGTGTCTGTGCACCCACAGAGGCAGGTCTGGACGCCCCGTGCCTGTGTGGGATAGGCAAGCCCGCTGGCCAAAGGAATGACACGCTGCGTTAGGAAAACGGCCCAGAACGGTGCTCCTCTGCAATACGTTGTAGCCTGATCCAGGCCAGGCCAGAAAATCTCCTAGCACAAAGATGTGGCTGCAGGGAGCCAATGAACATGCACCATGGCCCAGCCCCTCAATCCATCCTCTAGAGCGGCCGGGGGGGGGGGGCAAACTTTTTGGCCTCAGGGCCCCATCGGGGTTCCAAAACTGTATGGAGGGCCAGGTAGGGAAGGCTGTGCCTCCCCAAACAGCCTGGCCCCCACCCCCTATCTGCCCCCTCCCACTTCCCACCCCCTGACTGACCCCCTCAGAACTCCCCACCCATCCAATCCCCCCTGCTTCTTGTCCCCTGACCGCCCCCTCCCGGGACCCCCCGCCCCAACCACCCTCCCCGGACCCCACCCCCTATCCAACCCCCCCTGCTTCCTGTCTCCTGACTGCCCCACCCCCTATCCACATCCCCCCCCCGACAGCCCCCCCCGGGACTCCCACACCTATCCAACCCCCCCTGTTCCCCGTCCCCTGACCGCCCCCACCCAGAACCTCTGCCCCATCCAACCGCCCCCTGCTCCCTGTCCCCTGACTGCCTCCCAGGACTCCCTGCCCCTTATCCAACCCCCCCGCCCCCTTACCAGGCTGCTCAGAGCAGCAGGACTGGCAGCCGCCCCGCCCAGCCAGAGCCAGCCACGCCACCGCGCTGCCCGGCAGGAGCTCGCAGCCCCGTCGCCCGGAGCTCTGGCGACACAGTGAGCTGAGGCTGCAGGGGAGGGGCCGGGGGCGAGCCTCCCCGGCCGGGAGCTCAAGGGCCAGGCAGGACGGTCCCGCGGGCCGGATGTGGCCCGCGGGCCATAGTTTTCCCACCTCTGGATTAGATCCAGACACAAAGAAAGGGATTTTTCTTTTTGTATTTAGATCCGCAATGCCGGGAGAACAATGATCTTCCATTTCTAGGCGGCGTCTCCTGGGGATCTCGGAATAGCAGCCATACGCAAGGATCACATCATCCTTTGCTGAAATGCAGCTGCCTCTGGGGTGGGATAAAAGAGCACAGTAACAAAGCACAGCGATTTAGGCAGCAGGACGTGGAAAATGGGCCAGATCCTCAGCTGGTGTCAGTGTAGCTTCATTAAAGTCAATGAGGTTTGGCACCAGCTGAGGATCTGGCCCCATATCTTTCTCCAGCTTGACCAGCAAAGGGAATTTAGGAAAGGAATTTGACCAGGACACCAGAATTACCAGCCTAGCCTAGATTCTGCTGCTCACCACTGGGGTAAGTCTGGAGGCAAAGGAAAACGTAAGGCCACCCCAGCTGTGGCATATCATGGTTGGTGGAGTCCCGCACCATGGCCCCAGGGCTGTGTTTCACATTAATGCAGTGGTCTCCTGTTCCCTCTAGTCCAGTTCCCCCCATCCTCAATAGAAAGGGCACTCCTGCCCCCCCTCTAACGCCAGCCTAGCCCGGCGTAAACGTGGAGACCTCATGGGCTTCATTTCCTAATGCCCCCCCTTGCTGCTTTGTCTGCAGGGCCCTCCGCTCCCAACAGGACGTGTCTGCACTTCCACTTCACCCAGGATGCCGGCAGAAGCGTGCAAATCCTCCACGCCAACATGTACGTGTTCCTGGCAGCCCCCGGCAGCCCCGGGCGCAGGCTCACGGCGAAGCTGCTGTTGTCCGAGCCGGGCGATGCAAACCCGACGCTGGTTGGCAGGAGGCCACTGGAGGTGAAGCGGGGAGGCTGGGCCGCGGTGGAGGTGAGGGCAGCTGTCCAGAGCTTCTTCAGCAGAGGCGGCCAGAGGCTAACGGCAGAGCTGGAGCTTGAAGGAAGCCTGGAGCCTGCCCTGCTTCTCAGCAACAGCGAGTCTCACCGGCCGTTCATGGTGGCCACGGCCCGGGCCAGTCCCCGACACCGGATTCGCCGCCGGGCCATCGAGTGCAATAGCAAGTCCCGGACATGCTGCAGGAAGCAGTTCTTCGTTGACTTCAAGGAGATCGGCTGGGAGGGCTGGATCATCCAGCCGGAGGGCTACCACATGAACTACTGCACGGGGCAGTGCCCCATGCACGTGGCCAGCATGCCCGGCCTGGCCTCCTCCTTCCACACAGCCATCCTGAATCTCATGAAGGCCAACGACGCGCACGCCACCGTCAGCTCCTGCTGCGTCCCCACGAGCCGCCGGCCCCTCTCCCTGCTCTACTACAACCAGGACAGCAACGTCATCAAGACCGACATCCCCGACATGATCGTGGACGCCTGCGGCTGCACCTAACCCTCTGCCCAGCGCACACACAGCTGCCTTTGCACTGAGCGAGTCTTCCCTCGAACCGGGACTGGACAGAGATTCCCCCGCCGAGGTCCTGTTCCCACTGGTCCTGCTGTTGGAATTCACGTCCTTCACATACGGGACTGATTGTGCTGGTGAACCGTGCCGTGTCAAGTCTCTCCGGAGGACAGATACAGCAATCTCACCCCCCATCCAACGGCCTCCCTCCACCCTTCCCCAGGGAAGAGGAGAGAGCTCTGAGTGGACGCCAGCCAGGGGCCCTTTGCAGCCATGGGTTCTGCAATGTGAAGACCCGCCCTGTAGGGAATTTGGACCAAGCCCCCCTGTCCTCAGAGACCGCCGTGGGGGGAATGCCGGGCAGGGTCAGAGAGGAGCTCAGTGCTGCCTAGACAAATTCAGACGGGAGGAAAGCAGGCGTAAATTCTTGATGGGGCGAGTAACAAGCCACTGGCACAATTTGCCGAGGGCCGTGGCAGATTTGCCATTTTGAAATGGGGACTGGATGATTTTCCAAAAGTTTGCTCTAGGAACGATGGGTAGGGATGCTATCCAGGGGCTCAGATGAGACGGTCACAAGGGGCCCTTCTGGCCTTGGGATCTCTGATCTGTGGCTGAGTGGGGCAGGGAACAGAGGGCCACACCACGTCGCTTGGCACTGAATCAGAGCTGCAGCCTGGGATGCCAGCTGGCGTGCACCGAGTCCTGTGGAACCAGGAGAGCGCTCTGGGGTGAGGGGTGAGCTGGTCCTGACGGGAGGGACACAGCCCGGCTTCTCTGTCCGTAAGGCGCCCGCAGCCCTTTAAGATATCTGTTCCTCCCGCCCTGAGCAGCCTCTGTCCTGTGCACTCAATAAAATGCTGTATCTGTGTGTGCGTGACCTCATCATCAGCTAGCAAGTCACTCCCCATCCCCACACGAGGATCCCAGTCCTGCCCCCGCCCCTTTGGGGGGCTGCCATGGTGCAAGACAACTGACCTGGCTAGCCAAGGATGCCTTCAACGTGAAGGTGTTCCCAGGTGGCACAGATCTGGCACAGCCCTGGGGTAGGGGCATGGGGTGGGGACGTGCTGTCACAGAGTCCAGGGCTCTGGTTACAGGCAGGCAGGTAGCTGAGCCTAGCAGCTCCCCGCCCTGCCAGCCAGGTCATCTGCATTTTCACTGACCATTTCCCTCTCCGCCAATTGGTTCCCTGGATTCAAATTCAAACCCTTGGCCATTACAGGAGCAGGGCCTGGATCCTGTCCCAAAGAGACACAGTCACCCCACAACAGGGTCTCACAGCTGATACCCTGGAGAACCCCAATGACCAGCCAGCCCCACCCCTCCTGGGGTCTGCACAGGGATCTGGGCCATAGGCAGGGCGAGGGGCTTCATCCCTGGGACCCTCATCCAGCTCACACAGCCCCTCAGCATCTGAGGCTGCACCACCCAGGGCCTGACAACAGTTCTCTCTGTCCCAGGATCTCGCCAACCCAGGAACGTCTCCCCATTGACCCCATCACCTTCCACACAGACATATAGGTTGAGGTCAGGAGTGGGAGCCTGTCCACCTCCCCACCCATCTGGCTGACGGAGTCTATGGCCTTGGGACCCAGCAAGGGAGCTAGACACCTGGGCTTTTCCGCAGGGTCCCCCTGGTTCAAATCGCCAGCCTGCTCAAAGGCAGTGAGGTGGCATCCACATCCCCCCCTCCTCAACCAGGGGCAGCAATTTAGTCTCGAGGTTCCCTGCGGAACTGGCCCCCCGGGATCTATCCCCACTCACCCCTGAGGGGTCCCCTAGGCCTCTCCGCTCCCCCACCGCCAGCTCATGCTGCTGCTGCTTCTGCAGCTCTTTCTCGGGCTCTCGCTGGCTCTCACGGTCCTCTCGCTCTCTCGGACTCAGCTCCAATCCCGTCCATCTCCAATCTCCAGATGGGGAACCCGATCGTGAAGACCCCCGTCTGGTCGGGGACACGAGTCTTGGGGATGCCTGGCTACCACTCCAGCTGCTCCCAGATCCTGCTATAGCCCCATTTGGGGTCAGGAATCTGCTCCTTAGGGCGGTCACTCCAGCTGCAGGATGAACTGTGCTTTGATGAACTTTCCAATGCTCAACCCTCTCTTTCTGCACAGGGTTACAATGTCCTTCTTCAGGAGACGGTGACAGGCCGTCACTCCGCTCTTCCCAAGTTGTTGTGGACTCACAGGCCTGTGTGCCCTCAGCTCCTCACGGTTTCCAGGGAGAACCCCTCGTGTGCCAGCCCTTCTCGAGGTCACCCCATTACTGCACAGTCCTTCTCGCTGGTCACACACTCCCAGGGGTTAACCGCCCCCCAAAACTGCTCCTCTCTGAGCCTTCAGCATGCCTGGTCCTTGTCAATCCCCCTTTGTTTTACTGATCTCCAGTCACTTACTGCAGGAAGCGCCATCCGCAGGGTGCAGTACATCCCACCTCTGCCACCAGTTGTCACGGCGTCCCCAGGCGATGCTCTGGGACGGCTCCCTACGAAGTCAGGCAGGACTCTGGGGAAGTCTCCTCTCTGTGAGCAGACTGTCTGCAGGACACACAGCTCACCCGGCTCCACCTTCCTGGGTCTGACCTCGGAGCATTCAGCATCCTCTGCCCCTCCGTGCGCTTCCCACAGCGAGTCTGCCCAGGCGGGGTCCTGGGGAAGCCAGAGGGTCCTGCCCCCCAACTCCACAGGCAGATGTGACTCTCAGCCAGCCAGTAAAACAGAAGGTTTATTAGACGACAGGAACATGGTTTAACACAGAGCTTGTAGGTACATAGAACAGGACCCCTCAGCTGGGTCCATTTTGGGGGGCAGTGAGCCAGACAACCCCGTCTGCACGTCACTCCATGTCCCAGCCAGCCCCAAAACTGAAACTCTCTCCAGGCCCTCCTCTGGGCTTTGTCCCTTTCCTGGGCCAGGAGGTCACCGGATTCCTTTGTTCTCCAACCCTTCAGCTCTCACCTTGCAGAGGGGAAGGGCCCAGGCCATCAGTTGCCAGGAGATAGAGTGTCACCATTTACGTACCCTGGCCTTTTGCTCTGCAAACAAATCAGATCTGCAACAAATCTGCAACAATCACACCCCCTTATCCCACCACCTAGAGACTTAAGAAATGCGTAGGGGAAACTGAGGCACCCACACAGTATTCAGAGGAAACATTAAGAACAGTCCCGCTTCGTCACACGTGCCTAGGGCATTCTCAGCGGGATTCTCTGGGGCTCACGCCCACGAGCGAGAGTTGAAGGAAGCCCCCAGTTCCGTTGGCCGCACGTGCCCAGTGGGCAGGTGGCACCGGCCAGCCCAAGGCAGCTTTGCTGCCCTCAGCTACCAGCCTGGCTGCCAGACCTTCTGCCTAGTGCGGTCCCCTGCAAACTGGCGACCGGTTCCAAAATCCAGCCGGTGCCAGGAGCCACCGCGCAGCGCCCAGCGGGCACCGGGAGCTGAGCTTGGGGCAGGCCTGCCGCAAGGGGCCCGCTAACCCACTGTGGCAACCCCCACCTGCCAGCCATTCCCCATCGGGCCAGGCAGGCTCGGCCTCACACGCCAGGGCCTGCCCTGATTCCAGAGGCTACTCAAGAGGCTGCTGCGAGCTCCCAAAGTCTCAGGTGGCCAGGGACCTGCTAGCTCCTGCAGCAGGCTCTTCCTGTCTGCTCCTGGGGCAAGTCTCCTGGGGGACACGTCCAGAGGGGCAGCGCTCGGGGGCATGAGACTGTGGATCCTGGCTCTCTGCAGCTGGCCCGCTGGGGGCGGAGAGGGGGCGTAGCAGGGATGGTCAGAGCCATTGCCAATTGCCGCTTGCTCAGCGTGCGTCCACGCACCCAAACAGCACACCGAGGGGTGCCAAGCCACCCGGGGGGCAAAAGTCCTCCCGCAGCTGGGCAAACATGCTCCGTCGATCAGATCTTTTTTTTTTTTTTTTTTTTGGCGAGATGGGGTTTCAGGGGTCCTGAGGACAGCACGCAGCTGGTTCAGGGACGCTCGGCTCTGGGTCTGACACTCGCACACGGTCCCCAAGTGGGGACAACCAGACTGGTCCCCTGCAGAGCTTCCGGCTTGGGGCCCTCTCAGCGTGGCTTGGCTCTGGGCTCCCCGCTTCGGCCCCCAGCTCTCAGTGGGATGGGCCTTCCCCTGACTGGGGCCCAGCACCACTCCCGGGGTAGGGGGTGTTTCCCTCTCTGCTTGGGCTCCTTGCCGGAGACCCTCCAGCCCCGGGAATGAGCTGCCCCATGCCTGTCCTGCTTGGAGGGGAGGGGGCAGGACAACCGGCAGATCGGGTATCGAAATGGGGCCGTTCCTCCTGCTGGGAAACCTGGGGTGACCCAAGGCTGGGCTCCATGCGGAGTGCCTCGCTGCCACCTGGACCGCAGGCCCCAGGCTCCCCCTCAGGCCAGCAGGTGCAGCTAGGGAGGAGGGGTTGGAGGGCGGCCCCACGGGGCTGACACCGGAGTACTGGGCTGGGTTCTGCTCTCCCCTGCAGGTTTCAACACGACTTCTCCATTACCCTACTCCTGTGCTTGGCACAGGGCTAGGATATAAGCCACCTCCCAGCTTCACCTAGTCCAGACCCTGCTCATCCCTAGGCATAAATTACAGCAGCCTCAGGGCTCTGATTTCTGCTCTGCCCCCCCGCCCCCGGAACAAAGAATACCCATAATTCAGTGCATTGCAGCCAGGCCCCTGATCCACCCCATACACCAGGGACAAGGTTGGTGCCGGGATCTTACGCAAGCTCCACACTGGTCAGGGAGGCTCCCATGCAGGGGCAATTCCTAGGGGCCATTTCCCCTGTGTTAGGGCCCCTTTACAGTGTTGGAGCGGGACAAAGGTTCCTGGATACAATGGAGAATCCAGACTCCTGGCTGTACTGGAGTCACTCCAGATTTGCACCAGTGTAAATAAGATGTTATCAGTGTAGCAATTCATCCTGGCAAAAGGGGCTGGACTGGCAGCTCCCGCTAACATCCCTGTTTATCCAGAGAGCCCTGCAAGGCCAGGATGGAGAACATGGACATTTCTTTATTATTATTACGGGAGGAAGGGGGGAGATGCATGACTCAGTTTCCCCATTCCCTTTGGATTGTCAACCCTAGGGAAGGAAGGGGTTAATTCCTCCTCACGGCCTGGATGGGAAGGGTTGGGCTGCTAGTCCAGGTGGCTGGCTGGGCTGGGCTGGGCTGACTGAAGGAGAACTGGCCCCATGTGCATGGTGGCCTGGACAATAAGGTAGGGTTGCTAACTTTCTAATTGCACAAAACACCCTTGCCCCGCCGCTACCATGAGGCCCCGCCCCTTCTCAGGGGCCCCACCCCCCTCCCTCCATCACTCGCTCTCCTCCACCCTCACTCACTTTCACTGTGCTGGGGCAGGGGGTTGGAATGTGGAAGGGGGTGAGGGCTCTTGGGTGGGGCCAGAAATGAGGGGTTCAGGTTGCGGGAGGGGGCCCTGGGCTGGGGCAGCGGGTTAGGATGTGGGAGAGGGTGCGGGCTCTGGGAGGGGGCACAGAGCTGGGGCAGGGGGTTGGGGTATGGGATCTGGGAGGAAGTTAGGGTGCAGGACGGGGTCCGACCTGGGCATGGGGTTCGGGTGGGGGTGTGGGGTCTGGGAGGGAGTTAGGGTGCAGGAACGGGTTCCGACCTGGGACAGGCGGTTCGGGGTGTGGTCTCCAGCCAGGCAGTGCTTACTTCAGGCAGCTCCCGGTTGGTGGCACAGTGGGGCTAAGGCAGGCTCCCTGCCTGCCCTGGCTCCACGCTGCTCCCAGAAGCGGCCGGCATGTCCCTGCGGCCCCTAGGTGGAGGTGAGGCCAGGCGACTCTGTGCAGTGCTCGCACCTGCAGGCACCGC